TCAAAACAAACTGTAGATGAAAAGATGTGCTATTTGCCCGTGAAGACTCCCTCTGCTTCCGATGATAAGGGGTTGCAGGCCCCGGCATGAGTCGATGGCCAGGTCCTGAATTAATTCATTTCTGTCACTGAGTGTAATAATTAATAATGAATTGTATTATGAATTATTATTTTTCAGTCAGTCGGAGTGTTGCAGCTTCCTGAACAGATGAGAAATTTTCTTAAATGTCACTGGACTGTTTTTACAATTCTGCCCAAAGCCTCGACTGCAGGAGTGTGAGACCAGAGAGGAGGAAGAGGAGCAGGAGGAGCAGGAGAAGGCATGTTGGGTCAGTGCAGATCTGCCTGCAGTCAGGTGAGGATGACTCCACAGGAAGAGGAAAATCAGACAGAAAGAACTGGAAACAGTGTCAGCAGATAGAAACTGCTCTGAGTTTAGCAGTGTGACTCACTCTGTATGCATTACCCACAATTCTTTGGGAGCAGACAGGTATCCCAGGACGTGTCAACCAACCGCTTATTGAACAGTATCAATATCTACATTATATTGCAGTGTATATTATTATTATCATATTATCTAAGTCAATATTCAGCACTTTATTTTTTATTTAATGTGTTATTGTTTACTTATTGTATATATTACTGTTATTATATATATTTTAGATTTCAGTCTGTATCAATATCTACATTATATCACAGTGTATATTATTTATGGAGTTTATATTATCTTTAATCAGTATTAAGTCTTGATTTCATTCATGTTTGATTCAGGAGTTAAAATCTGTGTATTAACATCGAGGTGTTGCTAAGCAGCAGTAAACCTTTTAGCCCCTGAGGCTAGCGTTAACTTGCAAATCCTTTACTGTGTGTGTGTTTGAGAAGATCATCGTTAGGGTGGTCTTTATTTACTTTATTAAGACTGATTCACAACACACAGAGCAACAATACGATTTTAAATCTGCAATTAATAAAATATGATAATCAACTAACAATAATTATGATAGTGAAATATGATAAAAAATCAGATATCAATAATTATGATATTAAAATATCAATGAAGAATATTTAGCGTTCACTGATTGATTTCTTTGGTTCTAGATTTTAAAGATATTTTCTGTCTTCCTGTAAGCACGCTAGAAAACGCTGAGGAGCTTTTATGTCTTTAATCCTCCTCCTCCTCCTTTTCTGGGCTGTTTGAACCCCAAGGCTGGGCTGCAGGAGCAGGAAGCTGTGAATTATGGGATAAAGAGGGTTTGGTTGGAGCATTAGAACAGCAGGAGTGGACTGCAGTTAGTGACTTTTTTTTAAATTATTTCTCCTCTGATGAAGTGAAACTGATGTTCTTCCATCTGTCACTGGATAATAAATCCTCTGTAATCATTAATAATTATCTGCTTAAAACCCCAAACAATGACAGACTCCATAAGGAGGTGATACGAAGGTTGTAAGTAGGAGGAAGTAAAGCCACAAGGAGGAGTTGAGGAGGAGTCATTCATTGATTAATGTCATTGTTAGCAGGTTGGTTGGTTGATGACAGTGGTTGTGTTTGCTCTCTACCGCTGTCTTTGCTCTCACAAACGGAGCTCAAAGTGAAGGACAGAGACAGCAGAGAGAGCTGGCAATGGCAGCACCATACATGAAAGCTTTGTGAGTAAAAAACAGCTGTGTGACAGCTGACTTTAAACAAGATTGGATCAATAAAGCTCAATATAAAAGATAAGTAAAAAATGCCTTCATGATGTACAATAATGTTAGCTTTGGCTTGGACTAGATGATAGCAAATTGTTTCTTGTCCTGAGATAACTTCTGTTATGATTTGGTGCTATACAAATAAAACTGAATTGAATTGGTTTCCACTGGTTTCTACTGTAACATGTCCACTGGCTTTCACTGGTTTCCACTGTGACGTTTCCACTAAATTCCACTGTAACATTTCCACTGATTTCCACTGTGACGTTTCCACTGGTTTCCACTGTAACATGTCCACTGGGTTTCACTGAATTCCACTGGTTTCCACTGTGACGTTTCCACTGTGACGTTTCCACTAATTTCCACTGGTTTCCACTGTGACGTTTCCACTAAATTCCACTGCTATGTTTACACTGGTTTCAAGTGTGACGTTTCCACTAAATTCCACTGTAACATTTCCACTGGTTTCCACTGTGACGTTTCCACTGGTTTCCACTGTAACTTTTCCACTGTAACGTTTCCACTGGTTTCCACTGGTTTCCACTGTAACATTTCCACTGGTTTCCACTGTACATTTCCACTGGTTTCCACTGTACATTTCCACTGGTTTCAACTGTGACGTTTCCACTGGGTTTCACTGAATTCCACTGGTTTCCACTGTGACGTTTCCACTAATTTCCACTGGCTTCCACTGGTTTCCACTGTGACGTTTCCACTAATTACCACTGGTTTCCACTGGCTTCCACTGGCTTCCACTAAATTCCAGTGTAACATTTCCACTGGTTTCCACTGTGACATTTCAACTGACGTTTCCACTAAATTCCACTGTAACATTTCAACTGGTTTCCACTGTGACGTTTCAACTGTGACATTTCCACTAAATTCTACTGTAACATTTCCACTGGTTTGCACTGTGACACTTCCACTGTGACATTTCCACTTGTTTCTACTGGTTTCCTCAGTGAACAACATCACTGATGTCCACTGCGAGCTGCTCTTTATAGATATAAACTATATTTAGAACTAGTGGTCAGCTGATATTGTTTTATAATGCTGATATTTAGAGAGCAGGACTGCTGATGGCTGATGAATGCTGAAATTAAAGTTCACATATAACTCCATTATTCCACACATTACAGTCTAATATACACATTATCTCAGCCAGTAATGTTTACATTGAATTTATATGAATTAATAAAATATAAAAATACATTTGTTTATGCTGGAGATTTCAGAATGGAGAGCAGAGTTCAGTCTGCTTGCATTATTCTACACATTATGACATATGTATGTATGTATATATATATATGTATATATATACAACAGCAAATGTAAAGACAATGGTGACAAACATTTACAACAGGAATGCCTGTATCTGCAGCAGGGGATGCTAACACTGTTCTACTGCAGACACACTGACAGCAGGCGGCGCTAACGCCGTTCCAGAGAGAGCTGTTTTAAGGTCAGTTAGTTTTTCTCTCAGGGGATCAATCAGCTGATTTTATTTTTCTAATTAATGTTGATTTTTGGTGTTCCACTTCCTGATCTGGTTTATATGGAATATTTAATATGTGTGTGTGTGTGTTATGTAACTGTGTCTGCTGTGATGTTCTCAGGATGACGAATCAGAACCTCAGAGTGAAAATGAGCTGGATTCTCCCCAAAATCCTCTGCAGCAGTAAAATATTACATCTTGTGTACTTATACTGCAATAATACTCCTGGAGCATCTTTGTGGTGCATCTGCAGTATTCCCTGTGTACTGTTTCTGTGGCCACCTAATTGTCTTTACAGAATAAACATAAACATGATGTTTTTCTTATGGGGTTTTGAATAGTGGTGGTGGTGGTGGGGGGGTGAACAGTGAACCAGTGAACAGAGTTGATGTGTTAGAAACGATAAGCCTAATACTTACAGTGACCTGAAGGCACTCGCTGAACCAAGAAACAAAGAGTTTCAGGACGGGAGACAGCAGAGGACGCAGAGGAGAGTACAGCACGAATCTGAGAGCTGCCTGAGGATACTGCACAGGACAACTGACAGGATGGTAAATGGATATAACATGGCCCATACTAGCGCTTTCGAGCTCTTCCGACCACTCAAAGCGTTCACACTACGGGCATCATTCACCTTTCACACACACTTCACTGCAGGCATGGTCTCGAACAGAGAACAACTCATTCATCACATTAAACGACAGTCTATCAAGATAACTCCCCAGAATTCCGCACTAGAGGCAAAGTATCATCTACGATACTAATATCTTTAGACAGTGATCTCTGAGGGCCTAAGTATACCCCAACGATTTTTTTTCCTGACTGTAACATCGAGAAATGCCAGCTTCCAGGGATTTTATCTTAGGACATGTCTGTAATTTAGATAATTCGATCAATTTCCATCGGGCATTCGATCGAAGATATACTGCGTATCACTGCATAGCAATGGAATAATGGACGTGCTTTCCTAATAATGGCTAAGGGAGCATATATAAATAACATAGTCTTGGTCCAAGTACCAGCAACTGTTGAACCCTGACTAATCTGTATGTATTATCTTACTCATCGTTACACATCGAAACGATCCTGATAAGGAACCTATACCAGCGTTAAGTCTTCCTGGCTCGTCTCCAGTGTGTAATCTTCGCACGTTCTGATGCTCAAGATCTCCCTGAAAAGAATATTATGGTCATGGTGTCAAACGTGCACGCACTCAAGATCTAACTAATACAGAGTACAGAGACAAGTCCATTGTTGGAAGCATCAAAAAGGTCATTGTAACTTTAACCAGACGTCTGTCTCTGCGCTGTGATGAACTCTAAAATTTCGACTCTGAAAATCCTCCACAAAACATAAATTAATAATTGCATGTAAGAAAGTCACACAACTGTTGGGACTATTCTGTTATAAAATCTTTAGAGAGGAAGGGAAGGTTAGAAATCGGATCTACCTAGTTGGCAAATAACCCTGGGTCAGAGATGGCCTTTTTACAGAAAGGAGGTTTAATTACAGCTACTTTAAAGACTGCTGCTACTACTCCTGATAACTGACGAAAATAATCATATCGAGTAAAACGTGCCAATTAAGGTTACCATTTTAGCAGCCTAGGTTTGGGCATTGGATCTCCACAGGCTTGTTGCGCTCGAGAAGAAATTATTACAGTAACTGATGAACGACTGATACACAAAACATTCTAAATGTATACTCCTGAGGTTGCATTAGTTTAAGACAGTCATCTGATCTTGAAGAGCTGGATACCTATTGAGGGTATTGGTGACTAATCTTTTCTCTCTAATAGTAATAATTTATTATAAAGAATTTCCTGAAGCTCATCTGCTCACTTAAAGTTCTATAGGGGATACATTGCTCAATAGAGCTGGTGATCTCTGTAGCCTGGTCTGCAGCTGCTAAAGAGGAAACTAGGGTTGTTCTTATTTTTCTTCTATTAGTGCTGAGGTAATAGGCTCCACTCTGGCAGTACGGAAGGCCTTTCTCACTACTAATTTTAAGATTATTTTGCAAAATTAAGCCGATACTTCTAATAATTTCGAAGCGCGCCCAATTTCCCTTTCTGATTTCCTTGTTTCTTGCGTTTAAATTGACGCAGTTTGGTGTCTGTACACGGTGCCTAGTTTCCTATGTTCT